TGCCACTTCTTCAGACAGTATTACTTCCTGTTTACTTTGATTTTTTTTTTTCTGTGCTAAGAGCACTCGACCACTTAACAATGAGATCCACTCTCAAGAGACTTGTAAGTCACAATATGGTGTGAAGAGGATGCTGCACTCGATGTCTAGAACTTACTGCCGAAAGCTTCTATCTAGCCCCTGATTCTAGCGCCATCTCCCCACCCTGTCCGGCCGAGGCCTCTGCTCTGCAGTCTGCCTCTGGGGTTTCGACTCCCATACTCCACACTTAGGTGGAACCACACAGTATTTGTCTTTGCGTGACTGGTTTATTTCACTGAGAATAATATCCTAAGTTCACCCCTGTCACAAAACCCAGTATTTCTTCCTTTTTATTACAGGCTGATAGTATCCTTCTTAGTTCCAGCTAGTTTGCAGCTGGTTTAGGTACCCGGTTTACAAAGGGTTAACACAATATTTCGACTTCACAATCTGGATCTTTTCCCAGTTTAGTGTTATGCAGTGCAATTCTCTCCGGTGATACTCGTCTGTGTGTTAATGTATATACTCTGGAGGTATTTTAGGTAGGTTAGACTAAACCATGATATGGGCAGCCCCGTTTCTGTGTTTGTTTTTCCCTCCTAAAGTTAGGAGAGAAGGCTGGGTGTGGTGGCTCATGCCAATCAGTCTGTTTAGGAGACTGAGATCTGAGGATCATCATTTGAAGCCAGCTGGAGCAAACAAGTTCTATGACACTCTTACCATCAAAAAACCTGGAGTGGGGCTGGGAAGTTGGCTCAGTGGTAGAGCACTTGCCTTGGTCGATGACTTACAATAAATGCATTTTCAGCTTATAGCATATTCGGCTTACTACAGATTTATCATGCAGTAACCCCCTGTAAGTCAAGGGGCATTGGCATAGACCATTTTGTAATGATATATTTTTAAAAAATTCATTGGTCATTTGATGGACATTTAGCTTGGTTCCATGCCTTGGCTATTGAGACTGGTGCTGCAATGAGCATGGTGGTCAGATGGCTCCTTGAGACCCTGGGTTCAATGCTTTCAAGCAAATTCCAGAAGCAGGGATTGTCTGAGCGGGCCAACCTTCTCACTATGTCTAGATCTCAGAATCTGCCAGATAGGTGTGAGAATCCCAGGGAAAGTAGATCATGTAGTCCAGCCTCTTCAGCTTTCAGGAACAAGCTGGAAGGGAGAAAGACCTAGCCAATATCTCCAGGCCACAGTGCATCAAGTGCTTATGGTCCCTAATCCAGGCCTGGCATTCTAATCTACATGACCGAGAAGCTATAGCACTCTGACCCAGGCAAGAAGCATGTAGCAAGTATGAGAACCTCTGGAAACAACTCTGTTATTTGTTTATTCTTGCTGCTGTTGATGATGATGGTGTTGGTGATGATGGTGGTAGTAGTGGTTGTGGTGGTGGTGGTGGTGATGATGATGATGATTTGTCATGTTAGGGTTCAAACTCAGCACCTCACACATGCCAGGTGAGCAGTATGCCACTAAGCTCCATCTCCATCCTGATTCCATTGTTGAAAGCATTGATTGCATTCTCTCTCTGTCTGTCTGTCTCTCTCTGTCTCTGTCTCTCTCTGCCTCTCTTCTCTTTTTCTCTCTCAGCTGTCAGCACTTAGAGGATGGACCCTCATGACCACAAAGGAGTTTCAGATTCTGGAAGACTATGGAACTCTACCCTGTCGTAATTTTCCTATCAATCTGAGAGTGCTAGTCATTTTGCCTTTTCTTCCTCTTCCTCCTTCCCCTCCCCCCCTCTCTTCCTCCTCTTCCCCCCTCCTCATCCCTTCTCACCCCTCCTCACCCCCTCCTCCTCCTCCTCTTCCTCCTCCTTCTTCTTGTGCCAGCAGTAGGACTTGAGCTCTCTTGCTTAGCTTTTTGGTTCAAGGCTGCTGCTCTACCACTTAAGCTATAGCTCTACTTCTGGCTTTTTTGTTGGTTAATTAGAGATAAGAATCTGTTTGATTTGTCTGCTCCTGCTGGCTTCAAACCTTGATCTTCAGATCTCAGCCTCTTAAGTAGCCAGGCTCACAAATATGAGACACCTGAGTGCTCATCATGAATATTTTGTGTAATGGGTATTTTCTTTTCTTAGTTGAAGAACTTTTTTATAAAGACATGAACGAGAGTTTGAGGGTGCATAGGCTCTGGTAACCTCCCCTTTGGTTCTACGTACTCAGGATAAACATAAAAATACATAAAAGTTGGCATTTGATTTTAGTTTTTGCATGTTAGCGAAATCAACTATTTTGTCTATTGATACATTGTATTTCTTATTTTATGAGTGCCTTTTAATATTTTAATCTAATCTTCCAATGGGCTATGAGTCTTTTTGTTGATTTAAACAGTGCTTCATATATTAATGCTTTTTTCATAGATCTTGAATACATGGATCCTCAGCTTATTGCCTTTGAATTTTATTATTTTTCTTGCCATATAAAAGATTTAAAATTATATCTAGTTGGATAATATCAATCTTCTCCTTCATGCCATTTACTGCTAACAGTTTGGTATATATATTTTCCCAGACATTTTCCATGCATATGCGTATCTATCTATAAATATATATAGTAAGTGATATAGTTTTCCTGCACATTTGAAATATCATACACACTCTTCTGTGTATGTAAAGAAGAAAAATAGTTTTATTTCTTCTTTTACTGTTACCTATAATTTTTGCTTCTTTTACATATGAGAATTTTGTAGATATTCCCCTTATTAATAATGTAAAGATCTAACTTCAACAGCATTCCAGTGTATGAATTCAACATTGTGTTCCTAAACCAGTTTTTAAGTTTCATTTTTCATTTTCATATTTAAATATGGAAGATTTTTGGTGTCTGAAAGAAATAGAGAACTAAGTTTGGGGTTGGAGATTTAGCTCAGTAGAAGATCACTTACATAGTAAGTGCAAGACCCTGAGTTCAGTCTTCAGCACCACAAAAAGACAGAGTCCTAAATTCATTTTTTTTTCTGCCATACTAGAGTTTGAACTCAGTACCCTGAGCCATCCCCCAGCCCAAGACTTGCTTATAATTCCACATAATGAGCCAATTATTCCATAGCATTTATAAGAGAGTCTACCTTTCCTTCTCTGATTTGAAATAACTGTCACATATTATCGTGTTAAATGATTAATATTGTACATTAAATGTTAAGAAAGAATTTGAGTTTCTCTATGGATCTCCTTTTTTGTTGTGTTTACTTATTTACTCTTTAATGTCACATCGGTCTAATTATTATAGCTTTATAACGTATTTTAATATCTATAAAATCAACATCAACTCCTATTTCTTCTTTTTAAGTAGTGTCTTGGGTCAAATTCTTTTTATTATATTTACTTACTTTTTGCATTTAATTGTGAGGTTTAGAATTATTTGTGAAATTCCCATAACAACTACTAAGAATTTTTATTTTTCATTAAACTTGTTACATTATTAAATTAATTAAAGCTTTATTGACTTTTTTACAAAATTATTTTAACTTAAGAGCAATCTCTTGTCTCTGCATCTATTCAATTTTTCTTATGAGCACCAGTAATATTTGTTTAGTCTGTATAAATCTTACATTTTCTTCATATTTATTCTGGGATATTTTACATTTTTGTTACCACTGTAGAGGGAATTTTAAAAGTACATCTGAAGACTATTATTAGTATACAGCAAACTATAGGTTTGGTATACGTTTGGTGACAGCTTACTTTATGGATTATTACTCTAGTTGTTTTTAGTTTTTATGGATTTCTCATGTAGACAATCATGTCATTTATAAAAAAAAAAAAAGAAATGAAAAAGAAGAAGGATAAAGGTTTGTTTCTTTTTTAAAAAACTGTATTTCTACTTTCTGTGTACTTTCTTATTGCTTTAGCTAGAACCACTTCTTAGATGTATCATATACAGGTTTCCCTTTCTTGTATCATATACACATTTTCCTCTCTGTCTTTTTATTCTGCATGCTAGAAAACTTTGGGGGACTATTTTCACATTTTCTAATTTCATTTCCTGTTCACATCAAATACGTGGTTCTCTGCTACTTTGGGATTTTAGTATTCAACCATCAGTACTTCCAGCTTTAGACTTCCTGTCTTTGGAAAGTTTCCAATGGTCTCACAATCACACACCTTAGTTCCAACTACTCCAAAGGTGGAGACGTGAGAATTGACATGCAAGGCCAGCCCAGGCAAAGTTCTTGAGATGCTCTCTGGAAAACACAAACTGAAAGCAAGGGGGAACGTGTCTCGGGGGTTGAGTTTCTGTGTAACAAGCACAGGGCCTTGAGTTCCATGTGGACACCCTCTAGTGGTTGAATTGTTCTCAGTGTCACATCTCAGTCCTTACTCAGACCTAGAAAGTCTCCTGTGCCCGGGACCAGCCACTTCTCACCCCACCATGTCCGCCCTACCACTCGTCCACCTCTGGACACTCGGGTCTTCTGTCTCTGGCCCAGCTGAAGGCCTTGTCACTGTTTCTGTTCCCAGATTTCTTCCTCCCTCTTGCCTACCCTCTGTCACTTTCCTCAGAGCCTGGACCACAACTAAACATGTCCCTCTCTGGCTGGCTATCTACTTATTTATTTTATCATCTGTGTCTTAAAACTTCCTAAAAGCATGCCTCTTACTGACCTGGCACATAGTCATCTCTTGTACATATTCAGTTAATGCTTGGTGAACAGAGGTATTGACCCCAGGGGTTCTGAGACAGAGCAAGCATCCATCTCTTGGCCTGTGGGGTCTGGGGTGCTTAGTAAATATGCCTTGTTGGGTTTGTGTCTTCATCAAGGCCTAGAGATCTGCCATCTTCTCCACAGACTTTATTTCTCTAAGAATCAACATGTGACATGAGAGAAACATCAAGAGAGCTAGCACAAACTGGGGAGGGAGCCGTAGGGACTGCCTGCAGTCTCAGATGGGAATAGAGGTAGAGTCTCCCCTTCCCGCTAGAGAGTCCCGATGCTACACGGCTTCATGGTGCATTGTATTGCAGGGTGGGAACTACGTCCTGGTGATGGTGGATCCAGATGCCCCCAGCAGGCGCAACCCCAAAGCGAGATTCTGGAGGCACTGGATGGTGGCAGACATCAAGGTAAGAAGGCCACGAGGCACTTTAAGCCTCATTCGCAGTGGTCGCTGGAAGATTATCGTTCAGTGTGGTTCTCAGCTTGTCATTCTGTGGGGAGAGCAGGACTTCTGTGTCAACAGCCCCCCAAGCTTTCAAACAGCTTCACACCAAGTCAAAGGACTAGAGGCGGCAGGTTCGGTGGTAAACCAGCTGTCAGGATGAGTAGAAGAAAGCCTGTAGGGCTTGCTGATCTTTTGTGGTACCACTCCTTCCGCCATGATGGATTTAGGTACTGATTTCGGTTTGTGCCAGTACACGCTAGACCGGGTGCTGCGATGTGGTTAGGACGGGGGTGTCCTGCTGGAGGCCCTCCCCTGCTGAGCCAGGGGCGTGCAGGAAACAAAGTGATTTGCTCTCTGGTTGGCCTCACACTGGGGAAGGGGCCTGGCTCAGTCTCCCCAGCGTTGAGTGCAAGGAGCTCACATTTGGTGGGTAAATGGAGGGCACTCGGGGCAAAGAATAAAAGGCTCGATTGCCAAACAAGTCTTGGACAGTCTGGGTTAACAGAATGGCTCACATTCCTTACCTTTTAGAGACTCATCATCCTGACGGGTGCCACAGACATTCCTTCACATCCTCAGGACCGCGCAGGTCTCGGGACTCTCCCGCCCCACTCTACCCTGGACACCAAAACCCAACCTTCTGTAAAGGGAGGTCATCTTTGCATAGAAGCTTTACACAGCTACATGCCAGTGGCTCACGCCCAAAATCCTGGCCATTCAGTCGGCTGAGATCTAAGGATCAAAGTTCAAAGCTATTCCAGACTGATAAGCCTGTGAAACTTATCTCTAACTGCCCACCAAAAAATTCAGAAGGTGGAGGTAGGGTTCAAGTGACAGAGTATCAGCCTGGAGCAAAAAAGCTAAGGGCAGGCACCCTCCACCACCCCCTCCCCAAAGCAAAAGCTATGTACATCCTGCTGTATACTTGAAATCAGATCTAAATTACTTATCATTCTTAATATAAATGTTACATGAATGGTTATTATTCTGTGTTGCTTAGGGACTGGTGACAAAAAAAAAAAGTCTATACATGATCCTCAGAGATGCAATTATATGCATTTTTTTCAACTTGCCATTAGTTGAATACAAACGTGCAGAGCCAAGATGCACACACAGGGCCTACTGTCTAGAATATGCATTGTTTCCCAACCACAAGTGACCATGAAATCGCTTATTCACAAACACAAAGCACCTGGCAGGGCGCTTTGAGGAAACCCACATCAGCCTGTGGCATTCACAAATCTGCACCTACAAAACCAACTGATGGCTTTTGCGATGTGAAAGCAGAAACCCAGAAGTAGGAAAGCTAAGTCTGAATGTGGTCAGGATGTTGGCTGGTTACCGGCCAATAACCTCTTGGATCCTCAGGGTTCTTTAGCTGTCATAGGTGAGTCACACTTCCGCCTTTGCGAGGTCGTGCTGATGGTCTGCTAGCCCATGAGAGAATTCTGGACGACCAGAGGGCCATCCCAAAGGCATGCGTCTTTCCTGCTGGCCTAAGGGCAGGGGAAGGGCAGCCAGCCAGCTACTGACTTCTGAGCAAACTCAGCGGTGGGAGTCCAACCTTTGCCTGGCCAGGGCAGCCTCTTGGGCAGTGTCCAAACTTGCCTTGGTGGCAGGAACCTCATTTCCTGGTGAGGCTGAAGAAAGTTCTATAACTCGCCAATGGGCAGCACAGGGCTAGGTTCGGGCCACAGCCAGCGGAGGGCACAAAAGGGAAAGCCAGGGATCGCCCCTCAGGCAGAGAGTTGTCATTTTCTGGACCAGGGTGGAAAAGAGTTGCTAGGAAGGGCTTCCCCTCCGAGGGCTCTGGTGAAAGATTTTGAGAGCAGAGCTGCAGAGCAGCTGTGGACAGGATGGCATTGTAGTCCAGGGGCTTTTGAAGGCTGAAGCCCCCAGGCCAGCCCATCCAGCCCTTTCACCTCAGTACTCACTCCAGACACATTGCTCACTCCAGCTCTGAGCTGCAAACGAGGGCTGAGACCCAGATGCCCTGCTGAGAGGCACAGCAGGTGGCAGGTGACAGGTGGCAGCTGTTGGGCCGGGCTGCTAAGCCACAGAGCTTATAACCAGGCCACCTGCCCTGTGCAGTGGCCTTTGCTTCCCGCTCAGGCAGGAAGAGGCTCCGGTTTCAGTCGCTGTTTCCACCCACTTTCCCTGGTCTGGGTGCCCAGCAGGAAGCGCCAGCCCTCCTGGGTATGTCCACTTAGCTCGCCACCTGCCCGCATTCCACCAGCCACAAGGAGTGTTAGCCAAGTGGGTTCAGGTCTCAGGGCCTGACCTCGGCCAAAGGAAGCAAGGGCTCTGGTAGACCCAGGAGCACTTCCTCCATGTCGGTGCTGGGGGCTGGGGGGTCTCGTGCAGCAGGGTGCACCTGCCCAGCCTGGCAGCTTGGGAAAATGTAGGTTCCTGGGCCCAAGACCAATACAGAGCTCCCACTCTGTTTGGCCTCTGTGTTGGACAAGCACTGGGAAGAGTCAGCAGCTCGGGGGAAGGGAAGGTTGCCTGGATGGTTACCCGCACTCATTTGTGGGTAGTCATTCTCAGGTGAAAAAGCTCACAATAGCTTTGTGAATGAGCATGAACCCATTTTACAGAAGCTTGGGTTGTTGGTGTGTGTGTGTGTGTGTGTGTGTATGTGTGTGTGTACGTGCGCGTGCGTGCCCGCACACCAATACTAAGGACTTGAACTCAGAGCCTGGGCACTGTCTCTCAACTTTTTCACTCAAAGCTGGCATTCTACCACTTGAGTCACAGTCCCACTTACTTTTTGATGGTTCACTGGAGATAAGAGTCATGGACCGTGACTGTTATCTCCATTTAACCACCAGATAACTGGAAGTGGTACTGTGGCTTAAGAGGTAGAGCACTCTCCTTGAGCTGAAGAGCTCAGGGGCAGTCCCCAGGCCCTGAGTTCAAGCCCCACAACTGACCCAAAAAAGGTATTCTAGATACTTCCCACAGAGGTATTCTAGATAGAATTGGATAAGGCTCTAGACCTGTAAATAACATAAAGCCTAGGAATTCGGGAGACATCCAGCAGTAGGGACTGGGCTTCCATGGTACTCTTTCACTCATTTAATTCAACAAATAAAACTCATATTTCACACTAGTCACTGTAGCATAGTAGTTAAGAGCAATGCCTCTGGAGCCAGGCTGCTGTGTGTAGGTTGCTGTGCTTCGGATCTCAGGCCCACTGTGATGCTCGGTGTGATCCTGGGCTAGTTGTTGAACTTCTCTGCATCTCAACACACTGGTTGTAAAGGTACTCTCCACCTCCCACAGTTGGTCTGAAGCTTAACTGAGTTATTTTGGGTAAAGTACTTCGATTCTAAGCCTTAGCACACATCATCAGCTCCATACCATCGCTGGCTGTTATGTTATGTAAGTGCCTTATGTAAGTACCCCTCAAGCGCTGGAGTTACAAACAAACAAAATGGAGAAAGGCACACTGTTCCACTCAGGGTGGGGTGACGTGGGTCCAGGAGCAGGCTTGCACGGAACATTCTAGACCTATGGGTTACCACTGGCTCAGCTGCAGGGCGGGCAGGGCTGGCTGAGCACTGTCAGCCATCTCTCTGGCACTGTCTCCCAGAGCAGCAGAGACCTCTGCAGAGCGTGGACAGATACCATCTTTGCACCCTGTGTGGATCTTCTGTTTTCCTTCCAGCTACTTTTTAGTTCTGACTCAATCTAACTAATAATCTTCATGGCGGAGCCTAATTAAGATATCAATTAATATGCAGCTTTCAGTTCCAAAGAAACACTTATTGGTTCCTCTTCTGTTTGTCTCCGAAATGAGTGCTCAGGGCTTTTCATGTAGACATTTTCATTAGGCTTTTTTTTATTATTGTTAATGGAATACGCAGCACAGGAAGCTGGTGTGCGAGTGAAATATCGTGATTGGTGACAGAGAGACAAGAGTACCTTTTTTATTTTTTAATCTTCCAAAAAAGAAAATCTTCCTAGAAACCATCAATGATTCTAAACATTTGCCCTGAGGATCTTCTTTTTTTGTTTCAGAGAAGAAAAGGAACTGGCAAGTTCACCTCTCTCTCTCCTCCAGTATTCCCCACCCCTGGCAGCTGTAAATGCAACCAATTCTGGGTTGAATTAAAAGGGCCTCGAAGGGGTCATTATTCTGTCTACTTTTCTATAAGGTTGGATTTTTTTCCCCATAATTAGACTTTTTATATTATTTTAAGGACCTCTAAGTGTGCTAGGTGAATAAGCTAAATGGGAAATGCAATGAGCAAGGCAAAGCGTAAAGATTCCTGCTTTTCGGTTCTGTGATCAACCCGTTTGGGGGTGATTGGCCCTTCTCCTGGGTGACCTCAGGCAAGTTGCTTGATCTCTCTGGGGCAAGGACAAAGGAAATTACACAGGCAATCAGGAGAGGCTTTCCTAGAGAGAGGCACAACAGAAGGCAGTGTATTGTATGTGTTCCTCATCAAGGAAGTAGCAGATTCTGAAGATATTCACACGTGTCCATAGAAGTCATTACATCATTGGGGGGGGGGTTGTTTTGTTTTTGTTTTTAATATACCCCAGAACCCAGCTAATGGTAATACACAGAATAAGCTATTGGTAGAAGGACTACCAGTTGAGACAAAGAGCACAAGGCCTGGAAATGGGGTTGATAAAACGCTTCTTTACGGAGACCTTTATTTTTCACGTGCTGCAAGTTTGCCCACGGTGAGGATATAGTTCAACTCATGGGCCATACAGAGCCTTGACTGGCAGGGACAGTGCCGAGGTGACCTTGGTTAGAAGCCAGACATATTTGTGGCCATCTTAAAGGGACAAGGCTGGGACTTTGGAGTCAGATGAAGCAGTGGGAGGGTCCAACTTCTGCTCTTTCTAGATGGGAGATTCTGAGCCTTGGCTTCCTTGGCATTAAAATAGGTACAATAACATCCATTTTCCTAGTGGGATTATGACTCCTGTCACAGGGCTAGGCAT